GATTAAATGTGATTCCACTAGACTCTAGTGTTGGGAATTGGTTAAAATCTCATAATTGATTTATTACAACCGATCAATCATTGAAAATAATTGGTTTGTGTCATTTATCAAATTTTCCTGTTATGTTTGTTAATGCACAAAAGTTTTGGGTTTGTTTTTGTTTTTTTCAAATTGCACAAAATCCATTTGCAAATGTCACATCTTTAAAGAATTACTAGCATGTTAGGAACATAAATTTCCTGGAGTCTTTAAGATAAATTCAATCATGACTTGGAACAAGCTTGTAGTGCTTATGAAATGTAAATTTAATGACGCAGACAAAACCAACCTTGTGATAAAGATTGTTCGTGCAAGAAAGTGTTCCAAAAATGTTTGTGTTCGATTATGAGAAAACATCAATTGCTTGGTCGTTTAATCACTGCAACTAATCTTCGATTATTTCAATTAATCGGACCACCACTACTACAAATACTGCCTGTATTACATCAGCTTACATAAGTTGACGACTAATAATATGTAGTATTATATATCACCACATGTAAGGCGAATTTTTTGTACCTAGAATTAGAAGGGTTTGAATGGGGGTCCCCTGCTTATACACAGGGTACATTTTCTTTCTGAGGATGTCAACCGGTGTCTAATAGCCAGTGATGTTGTTTGACTGTAAAACTTCATATTTCATTGGAAATAGCTGTTCCAAGCTTCCATTGTATAATGTGAATTCCTTGTTCAAAACTATTCTGCAAAGAAAGTTGAAATGAGCTTTGCCTCGATTATGATTGCCAAGCCAGCAGACATTGATTAACGCTTAGTCTCTGAATATATATACTTTTGATAGTATCAAATAAACCCATTTAATTTAGAAAGGAGCCCCCGGGATTCATAAACCTGAGAAAATCTACTCTTGCTTCATTTAGGGCTTTAAGCATTGCATGGAGGGCTGGGTAGTGGAGAAAATAATAGAGACATGAGACATACTACAGCTGACAGTGTGTTGAAATGAACTATGAGGTAACAAAAACTGTAATCAGTAATGAAATAAAATTTTATTGACTTGAGACATCCCCAATTACTGAATTAGCTGCATATGTGATCTAGTTCTTGATATTTAACCGGTGAACCTGAAATCAACTCCCCCAATTTGTTCACATATTAGGCCAAATGAAAAAAAATGTTGTGGTTCCGATTACACCTCTTTAAAATTTAGGGTAGGTAGGTAAGATTTTTTTAATTTTTTACAGATTTTTTTATAAGTAAAGTACAAACTCATAACATATTTCATGTATGCTCTGATGTGCTTTGTTCTGGGTCACATGTGAATATATATAAATTAGTGTTGATGTTGAAGGTTTCTACTGCCTTATATGTGGGGTTGTTTTATACGTGGCTATATATGGTATGAAAAAGAATGTGTGTTTATAAAATTGTGTTTATAAATAAAAATCAATTCCAGGAAAAGTTATTTTGTGCGCAGTCAAAGCATGGTTTCACACACCAGGTAACCTTGCAAGGGGAACCTGATACAGCTAGGACAACATGTGAAATCTTCTACAACCTGCATATTATGACTGACTGCCATGCCCATAATCATTGTAGTCTAAAGGTGCACTATAGATAGCAGTATACAATATATCATTTTAGTTGCCTTGAATTCGACCAAGAGACATTATGTTTTGTGTTTAGCTTGATAGCCCTTTGGAATGTTTTTCAGATACTTGCAATAGTGTTGGGAATCAATCTCTAAAACCATAATCGATTATCGAGGTCATCTGTCCATCAGTTATCGATAAGTGATTGAGTACAAGTATGGATTTATGAACACAACACCAGCTGCATGAGACAACTGCTACAAGATCGCTGGTAATAAAGATTGGTCATATGACACGAGATCGTAACCCATTCTTCTTCTACGAATTAAAAAACCCACTTTTTAACGAAAGGATGTTGAAAATCTTGGAGTATTTGACAATAAATATGAATTTAGATCACACTTTTTACAGCTAAACGATACATACGTCAAGATATTTGTGTGAAAGTAGAACTCTAGATCTCTGCAGAAATCAGAATGGGACAGCTATAGATCTCAGGGATAAATCTACCCCCGCGTCCCGCGTCTCTGACGCAACAAATTCTGACAGGACTCATATTTATTTTACATGTGCGTCCTCTTGGACGCAAGCTTTTGATGAAACACTAATGTTTATGTTTGTGGAGAGGCAATATCAAAGTATACATGGCTAAATCTCCGTAGATTAACTTCCATTCTCAAATAATTGACATGAGCTAATAAGTACACATTATTTTTCCTTATCCTGACTCATGCTCTTTTGCTTGTCTTCTTCTTCTTGCAAACATAGTGGAACACTTGTATCTCCTTATTTGAAGCTCCCTTCAATGTAAAATCACTAATTGGTACTCAGCAAGAGTTGCCTCCCTTGCCCTTTTGGCGGGAACAGGTGTCGCTGGCCTCATGCTTCACTCTCTCCTTCTTCGCCCAGTGAGCAGGATGTGAGAGCGCCTGTGTCTCCTTACACACTATATCCTTTGGTTTTTCTTAGTTTATTACCTCTTATAGGTTACTATAGAGGTATAGCTAGTATCCTTCATTAATTTGCATTGATAATTAATCGTATTTCTACTGTTTATTCACGTGAGTTCGTGATTGTTCAGCTAGTATTTACGTTGATGAAAATCTGTACTATTTGCAATTTACGGTTTTCGGTTGCTGACCCGCATGTATTATGCCCTAGTTGTGCTATGCCTTGTGCGTTTGATACACTTTGCAGTTACTGCATTAATCTATCCAATTCTGCTTTTCATAAATATCTTTGCGTCGTGACACGTATTAGCAGATAGGTCACGCAAACAAGGGTTAGACATGGCCCGATACATCGGATTCCCCTTCCAGTCAGCTGCTGTCGATAGACCCCTCCCGTCTGGTGTTTCGCAAGAGACTCCGCCGGAAGATGGGCGTGGGATGCAGTCACGCCACCTCTAAGAATCGTCCTTCCTCCCCAGGCGCCCCGTCGCCATCGCAGCTAAAGTCCAAGAGGGCCACGGCGTCTTCCCAAGCGCAGACTTCGGACCCCAGGGCAGCGTCGACATCAAGGGGAAGTCTACGAAATCGTCAAGAACTTTCTCAGCCGAGATCGTTCCAGCCGCCGAACTGGCCTCTCTCGATGATCAGCCGATCATCATCCCTGACGACGCCACAAGAAGCGACCGGTGACAGCTACAGTGACATCAGCAGAGATCGATATGCAGCCTGATGCCTCTACACTGATGTCAGGCGACTTCCCTGAGGGCTCAGCAGCTGTCATCGCAGAGAGGGCACCGACTTCGCCGTCGCAGACCATCCCAGACGAGCTGTTGCGGCAGATCATGACCATGATGGAGGGCCACTACAGTCGAGGAAAGCAGCCAGCCCAGGGCCCGAGCAAGCGCAGACGATACCCCAGAGGCACCCCAGTCAGCGTAGCAGCCACCACGAAGCAGCCTTCGAGAAGGAAGTCACAGACCACCTCGGACGAAGGGACAGATGTACAGTCTTCGCGAAGCCTTCGGCGAGACAGGGAGAGATCGTCACCGTCCTCGGCCTCATCCTCAGATGCAGACTCAGACCACCAGGCGCCACGGAAACCGCCATGGAAGTCAAGGCGCCGCTCCCCAGGTCGGGACGCAGAGGAAGCTGCACGAAGGCCGTCACACAGATCGTCATCATCGTCCAGAAGGGCGTCGAGGGACTATTCAAGAGCTTCACGAAGCCGTCAACATTCTCCTCGCAGATCTAGGTCTTCCCATAGCGCAGATCACCTAGATGATCTCCACGCCGTTCACCTGCGCCCGATCTCCACATTACATCACCTCGCAGGTCACCACACAAGTCGGCACACAGGTCTACAGTCAGGTCTCCCCGAGTGTCACCCGACATAGAGATAGCAGCCCACAGGTCACCATCAGAAGAGCATCAACCTCTCATCTCCGATGCTGGTACAGAAGATGATGGAGGCATCATCTTCTCAGACGCTGAGATAAGATATTGGATGGTAAACAACCTAGATTTATCTTCACCGTCCAAGAGTGGCAACTCAGCGCAGACATACCTGATGAAGGAAGACGATGCAGACGCCATCACCTTACCTCCGATCGACCCGATTGCTGCGGTGCCACATAATCTAGATACAGCCTTCATTAAAGCTACGAAAGTGCAGACACCACATCTGCCGAACTTTCACGCTAAGAAGTTCTCCACGCACAACATGAAGGCACAAGACATCGATGACAACTACAAGCTGATCAGCGATGTTAAGAACAAGAACTACAAGATTGACGATCGCAAGCTGGTGCAGATAGAAAACATGACGAGACGCATGTTTTTTGGCCTAAATAGATCTAGAACGATCAATGAGACACTTATCACCAGATTTCGTAATACGACCTCTGAAGATGATAGGATGATCTACTCGGCACTACTGATGCAAAAGAAGGACCAGCAGTTCCTTACAGATCATCTCACATCTGTCTCAGCAGCACTGACCTTAGCTCGTCGTCAAGGCCTCCTCGCTTCCTGCAGCTGGGGTGAGAACTTTACAGCTCCACTCTATACAGCCCCGTGGTCATCCCCAAACATCTTTGACGGAGGAATAGACAAAGTCTCCAAGGAAGTCACTAAGGACTCCAGAGAAGTCCTTATGATCAAGACCCGTGAAGGTCCGGGTCTATTAGAATAGCCCTTCAGCAACCCATGCTGGCTATAAAAGGCGACTATGCTTGTCGTAAAAGGCGACTAACGGGATCGGGTGGTCAGGCTCGCTGACTTGGTTGACACATGTCATCGGTTCCCCATTGCGCAGATCGATGCTCATGCTGCTGATCACTGGATTGTCTGGTCCAGACTCGATTATTTACAGACCGCCGCCATATAGCTGGAATATTGCTGAGTGCGGCGTAAAACTCAACTCACTCACTCACTCCTTATGATCAAGTCGATGGACACGCTAGCCAGCGTCATCAGGCAGACTTCACAAAGATACTCAGGGAGATCTAAGTTCTCGGGACTACAGAAAGCACGGGATAGGAAGATAGCCAGCGCCAGGGGAAAAGATTCTTTTCGTCGCCCATATGGCAACTATAGAGGAGGGTCAGGAAGAGGCAGGACACCCAGAGGTTCCCGCAACTATAAACGCTGAAAGACAGGTTCGGAACGACTGGAGTCTTCCACCCCCAGCCGTTCCAGTACAACCGTCACAAGTGGGTGGACGCCTCCAACTACACTGGGAGAACTGGGGAATGTTACAAGACCCTTATGTCTCCAACATTCTTCACGGATTTCGTATCCCACTACAGGCCACGCCTCCGCTGACAGTCAACCCTTACAAGTTCGACTTACAGGCACAACAACTACCAAAGTTAAGAGAGGCGGTTACATCACTCATAACCAAGCAGGCCATAGAAGTACTAGATCAAGTAAACATCGAACCAGGCTTCTACTCCCCAGTTTTCCTAGTACCCAAGAAAAACTCCAAGGAGAAATACAGACTCATTTACAACATGAGCTTTTCAACAGGAATTATCTACGCCAAACCACCAAAGTTTCGCGCATGATACACCTTCCTCAGTTACGGCAGTTGATTCGCCCCATGGATTACATGGCCAGTATAGATCTGCAAGGCGATATCTACATATCCCGATACATCCCGAATCCAGGAAATATCTCACGATTTACACTAGGCGGGCTACATTACCAATGGAAAGTACTCCCATTCGCATATCATCAGCCCCTTGCTATTCACGAGGATAACGAAACCTATTGTCACCTATCTACATCGTCTAGGGCTACGCAGCGTTCTACCGACGACGGGATACAAGTAGATCAAGATCCACAGCGTCTCAAACTACAGTTAAACTACATCATAAAGCTACTAACACAGCTAGGATGGTTAGTAAACTTACTCAAGTCGGACCTAGTACCATCGCCAAGATCTGCAGTTCCTAGGCATTCGATTTATCACGAATCACAACCGTATCGTCGTACCAGAAGACCGTTGGCTCAAGATCCAACAGACCATTCCGCCAGCTCTACTCTCTCCGTTACCACTCTACGACAATGGCAGAGCTTGTTGGGTCTCCTCACATCAGCCCAAGACATGACAGTCTCAGGCAGATTACAGTTACGCTAATACAGGTCTTCATCAATGCTCATCTCGGCGACCTACAACCATTCAGTCTACAAAGCGTCTCAGACCTCATCTACTATGGTGGACCAGGAGGTCGAATGTTTCGCGAAGGTATTTGTTTAGAAGAGCAGGAATTCAAAACCCATCTATATGTAGACGCCATTCTCCAAGGTTGGGGAGCTCATCTCGCCAACCCGGACGGCATCAGGGTTATGGAATCAGCAAGAAAGCAAGCTCCATATAAACATGTTAGAGATGAAAGCTGTAATCAACGCCATACTTCATTGGAGCACCATTCTACAGAATGCGCACTTAATGATTCATACCGACAACTCGACAGTGGCGTTCTATGTGAACAAACAAGGTTCAACGAGATCACTGAACCTATTGACTTTAAGCTTTCAACTGTTCGATCTAATACACGATCTAAACCTACATGTCAGAGCATGTCACATTCCCGGAGCCAAGAATGTACTAGCAGACGCACTCTCTCGGCCACATCAACCGTCACCGACAGAATGGATGCTCAATACAGAAATATTTGCACAGATAATCAAGCAAATAGGAGCGCCGCTAGTAGATCTATTCGCAACACGCTTCAACAATCAGCTACCGACATTCGTGTCACCAGTCCCAGCCCCACAAGCATGAGCAACGGACGCTCTAAGCATATCCTGGGAAGGCCTCAATGCGTACGCGTTTCCGCCGCCAGCAATAATACCTCTAGTGTTACAGAAAATCAGACAAACACAGAGCCTCCAACTCACTTTGGTCGCTACCTACTGGCGGCCAGAACGTGGTTTCCCATTCTAATTCAAGAAATCGGTCAACCAACACTAGAGCTACCCAAAGCTCAAATCTATTAATACATCCACACACCAAACAGGTGCACGGAAGCCCAGAAGTATTCCAACTTCACGTATGGACTGTATTAAAATGTGTTTAAACAAGAGAGGGTATTCTACCAGGGCGGCAAAAGCGGTCACTTTTGCCTTACATAATTCTACACGCAACTTGTACGGCGACACAAGTGGCACAGTTTTGAGAATTACGCAGCAAATAAGGGATTTACAGCAAGAGATGCTACTCATCCCCAAGTGGCAGATTATTTGTGTTACTTTCGCAAAACAAACATTTAAAAGGCTCGACATTGTCAACATATCTTGCCGCTTTAGTTCTGTGATTACCATGAGAGCGGGTGTCAAATTGACAAAACTCCAGAGTTACTGGCCTTACTATGTGCTTTCGATTGGAGGACCAAAAGCGGAAGTTCCACGCCCAGCTTGGGATCTGAATATAGTGTTACAACACCTCACAAGTGAGGCTTATGAACCGTTGGAATCGACAAACTTTGAATTTCTCTCACAGAAAACGCTTTTCCTGTTATCTCTAGCCACAACAGCCAGGATGTCGGAAATTCACGCACTAGATTATGAGAGGATACAGTTTGATGACAATCAAAACACAGCACACCTGGGACTAAGATGGGATTTCATCGCCAAAAATCAACTACCAGGTCAACCAGACAGGTTATTTCATATCCCTGCATTATCCTCCATTCTCGGATCTCAAGATACACTGGACTTATTTCTATGCCCAGTCAGAGCTCTCAAAATCTATTTACGACGTTCCAAAACAAGGCGAAGATTTCTCAAACGATTATTCATTCCCTTGTCGGCAACAACTCAGACAGAAGTCTCTCGTACCACCATATCTATAGGGATAAGAACTGTCATACTTCGCGCCTACAAGGCAGCAGGACTGGACCCTCCAACAGCATCAAATCCCCATGAGATCAGGGCTTTAGGTTCCACTCTCGCCCTACACGGTAACTGTTCATTGAATACAATTATGGAAGGATGAGAGATATCACCACCGAGGACGTCTAAGGCATTCACCATTTCGGTCCCTTGGTCCTCGCACAGCAGTTGACAGTCCCTCGTAAACGTTAACACGTAGTCTTACGAGATTAATATGCATAATTGTTACATGCATTATCTAGCTTATAACTCTACGGAGTTCTAGCAGTATGTATATATGTTCAGTGGTATAGCTTCTCTATCAGAGTCGCTTTGATATTGTTGTTTATAATATCTCAGTATATTATTAATGTAAATTCCCCAGTATGGCATTATAACCCATGGCTTATAACAGAGGAATTATCCTAAGTCTATGCCTTTATGAAGTTCCCGTAGGGGTTATTACAGTTATATCTATATAAATCTATAAATCCAAAGTATTCTGTTTTGCCCACCTCCGTTTCCGTAGGATTCTACAAGCAAAGGAGCATGAGTCAGGATAAGGAAAAATATGTAATTTTTTGAGTAAAATTGATATTTTATACTTATCCTGACTCATGAGGTTAGCCCTCCCATCCTCCCCACATAACACTTTGGATTTCCCTGTAAGTTCAAGTGTTGGGCTCGCAAAATCAGGAGAGAGTGAAGCATGAGGCCAGAGGGTGGCGACACCTGTTCCCGCCAAAAGGGCAAGGGAGGCAACTCTTGCTGAGTACCAATTAGTGATTTTACATTGAAGGGAGCTTCAATTAAGGAGATACAAGTGTTCCACTATGTTCGCAAGAAGAAGAAGACAAGCAAAAGAGCATGAGTCAGGATAAGTATAAAATATCAATTTTACTCAAAAAATTACATATTTGTAAAACAATCGCAGCTTTCATTCGTCATGATATTAAGTTCATTTCCGCGTTTCCAAAAATAGACATCTAGGTCACACCAAGGGAGGTAAGCGGTATGCAAATGAGATCCCAAGATTCATTGCTCGAGCATGTGCAGAACTACTAACCTAGTTTTTACACTCTATAAATAGACACAAACAGGCTAAGGGAGGTAAGCGATATGCAAATGAGGTTTTTCAAGACAAACTGATTGGTCAATGAACATTGTGACTCTGAATCAACAGTGTGAAGACGAAATCTGAGCACTCAGTACCAGTTAGAGAAAAGCAGGAAGCTTTAGTCAGTAGCTGAACAACTGTTAAATCTATCTGCATGTAATTTGAAAGTGAAAGTGACATTTGACAGGTTAAATTTCTGCTGAGACAGAATGTCATTCTGTTAAGGTTCTGCATCTCAAGTCCTGGGAAAGTAATCATATAAATGAATCATTTCATTTATAATTATGATGACATTTATGATATAATTTGTTTAATGTTAATAGTTAAAGTAAGACAGTTACTATTTGTGTTCATACTTGTTAAAGTGGCTTCCAGTTGGCATATTTCTTTGGATGTAATTTGTTTTTGAATCACTGAACAGAGTGAAGAAATAAAACAAAACTTTGGTTGGAATTGTAGAACTTTATGCACAAAATATTACAGTGAAGTTTCATTGGTCTGGCTAGTAACTTTTTTATTTTTCTAGTAAAAGAAAACATTTGATTGTCAAAGGTCTAGTGCCCTGCTGTTATTTTTATAATATAGCAGTCAACATGCCGCCCAGATAGATACTGTCAGAAAACACAAAGTTAGGACATTTCAGTCAGGTTGGCCTGATACTCATCGGTTATGGCTGACTTATGACAGGGAAGGTGATTTAATATTTTGTACTATTTAATAACTATGTACTGAAAATGGTATGACACAAGATGCTAAATGCAGAAAGTTTTAAAATATAACTTTGACCAGACATCTCATCATAATGATAATAAACTGTCCGTTCAGGCTCCAAAACTTTGTGATGATTTCCAGGTTGCAACTGCTCGTATGTATGAAAAACAAGACAAAGCAGCTGTCACCTTGATGAAATCTGTTCATTGGTTAGCTTGTGAAAACATCCCACTGACAAAGTTTAAACGTTTTGTTGACTTTTTATGAATTTGAAAACGAAGACACTGAA